AAAGTACGAGACAGATTGCTGAGCTTATAGGGCCTTTAATAAATGGGCAGTTGATAAGTAAAAACAATACAAAAGAACGGGAAGTTCTCATCTATCAGAGCTCATAGCACAACAGGAAATTGTCAACCATAAACCATTAGGGAAGGTGTTTGTTTTTTGTAAACTTACTGCCATTCTAGACAAACAAATCGCAGGTGGACTTCTTTACAATTACAGGTACAATAAGGAGGATTATATATTACTTTTGTGTTTATGTAGTCTTTGTAGATCAATACATTTATTTCACATAAGCAGACAAGGAAAACATTCTAAGTGTTTCAAATATTTTGGTGGAATAAAGCTTATTCTGTAAATATAACTGCAGAATCTGTTTTTTGGTTTTTTTACTGAGCCCTTGCTTTCTGGCATACTACAGGGGAGATTCCTTACTGTTTAGGTACCTTTTCTGTAAAACCAGTGTAAGAGTGTCTGATAAAGGAAACCTTCAGTGATGACCTTTAATACGCCAAGCAGAGAACCGTCTTCTTCCCCAAGATCAAGGAGGAAGTCTAGGTCTTCTGTGTAATGCTGAAGTGTATTCCTCTGCCAATTTGAAACAGTTGTTTATATTAAGAAGTTTATACTGACTCTTTTATTGCATTTTTTTTAGAAGAAAGCATATGACATAAAAATTGAGTATTTTAAATATTTCTCAACATCAGCTCTTCAATCTTGAAAGCCAGAGGTAAATACTAGATGAATGAAGCCAGGATTCTTGTAGATTGTTTTAAACTAAATAATCCGCTATCCACTTACAGCAATCCACCAACCAACCAGCTACATAAATAAGACACTATATCCAATTCTAGTCCAAATAATCAGCAGGCTGCAGTGTACGGGGTGTAGTCCCTGATATGACAGTGGCCTCTTTGTGAGTGTGTGGCTAACGTCTGCCAAGCTCAGCTTCCTAAAGCCTGAAGCGTGGTCTGCTTCCTTACCTGGTGGTCTGCAGCTGGGTAAGAGAGAGAGGCTGCTTTCTAGTGATGAGCATAACTGAATCAGTGCAGGGTTGTTCTTCCATGAAAGTGCACGTCACGCTTTCCCTTTTTTACTGTTTCCCTTTAACATTTTGAAAGCAGAGATGAATTTTACCTAAGTCTGCATGTAGCAAATAAAGCACCAGAAAAAGTTGGAACATGTGCCCTTCTGAGTTCCCATTTTTACTTGTCTGTAAGTCCCTCACTTGGAGTGGGCTAGGAAGGAATATTTTGAATATTCTGTGTCTCGTTTTTTTCTGATTGTAGTATTAATTATGAAAGTAAGATGGAAATTCCTCATGGAAACGGAAACAAGGTCTGAGTATCTGGAATTCAGTGGATGGTATTATGTGATACCATATGTACTTCTCTGTATATTGACAGTGTTGCTGTAGCACCTTCTCTTGCTGAGTTTCTAATTACTTGGTACTCCTCTGAGATACTATTTGTCTGGTTTTTTGTTTGTTTTTTTTTAAGCTACACAGAAGCTTGCAAGTCTTTTTATTATTTATAGTTTGCGTAGCAGAAAAAAATCCGTTAGAAGTGATCACTGTATATACTTGTTAGTTAGTCCCATACAACTTGTGAACTCGCTCACAATCTTAACCATCCTTGGTGGGTGGCAGAGGTCCCAAAGATACTGCGTTCCTGTGGTCTTCGTGAAAATTGGCAGCTGGGTAAAGGGAAAGACATAGATGAGAATTTGTGATTCTAATCTTTCTCTGTGTTGAGGAGGAACAGTTAGCTGACTGCTCAGCGCAGGGCTGGCTTCTGGTCATGGTGTTGCCCACCTGCCAAATCAAGCAGGCAGGATGTCTGAGGAGATGATAGGGGAAATAGAGACAGGGGGCACAAAGTCACATATAATGAAACTCCATTAATTCTGCTGCTTATGGCACAACTTGTTCCCTGTTTCTGAAATTAACTCGTGAAAAGATATTTGGACTACTTACAGTCTGTCATGTAGAAAATTGTGGAAAAGCACTTAGTTTTCTTCCCTGTTGACACATCTGTTAAACGTTTAATAACATAAGAAAGATGGGTCACTACATGTTATTATTTTATTTTAAACATCAAATGAAATCAAAAGCCTTCTTGTTCAGGGGATCTGTTTGAATTTACATGGTGCTAATTCTGTTTGATTTCAGAAGATCCTAGTCCCTGCTGCCAAGCTCCCTGCTAGTTGGTTTCCATTTTTAAATTTTATTAAGAGCTGATTACACAATCTGTCTTTTTAAAATGTGATATAGAGTACATATTAGTCAAAGTTGCAAAACTTGGGAAGCTGCCAAAATGCAAAAGGATTTTTCTTCCCTATTTCTGCTTTTTAAGATTAAGAGATATTTAATTACATAAACAAGGGTAGGACTCTGTCATTTATAGTGAATCTGTTTAATAAACAGTATTATCTGTTGGTTGAGAAAAGATAGATACACAGTTTAGTTCAACACTAATTAAAAGACAAAACTAAATAAAATGCAAAGCTTTTTTTAAAAGCCATTATGATTAGAAAACATATTTTCAGTAGTGGATATGTCTTAGGGAAGATTAATATTGCTGTTTTCTAGCATATTAATCTTATGAAATTAAGCATTAACATTTGAAGTATATGCGGTTCAAATCAGCAGTATTATTATTTCTAAAAATATGGAACTAATGATACAGATCAAACTTGAAATAAGTGCCAGATCCTTTTGAATAATTTTTTTTTTTTTACTGTGAATACAGTTTTTTCATGTGATTGTCAGTAAGAATATCTGCTCGTGACTGCTACATCTCTGATGACATTTACATGGTGGAGGAAGAGTATGTGTATTCTGAATAGCACTTATTTCACAGACTATTGGAAATATAATTTAAAAAATCATTGAGAACATTTATCCTTCTTTATTCACAAACATATAATTCCAAGAACATTGAAACATTTTTGATACGTAAATCGGTAGGAGAGTGTAATTCCAATTTTTGTTGATTTGGGGGGGGTTGTTTACTGTGTATTTCTTTTTTATTTTTTAATGGCAAAACCTGAAAGAATTGTAGTGTTTGGGAGTGAGAAGATGTATTACAAGCATCCTTCTTTTAGGAATTTGTTTCAGTACTGGCTTTAGCTGTCCTTTGTTAGATGTTTTGCCTGCTGATGTGCTAGCTTCTTGCACCAACTGACTGACCCTTGCCATAGTGGAGGGGTATGTCTTTTCTACCAGTTTTTTGGCAGTGGTTGGAGAAAGGCATTGCAACTAAACAGTTTTCATAGACCTCCTATGTCTCTGAGCATTTCTTGGACAGAGATTGGTTGTTTTGTGAAATGGCATCAAATTTTATGCAGCTTTTGAGGTACACAGGTCATTGAAATAGTGTTATTAAACTTACCACAATTCTATTAAAAATTATATATATACACGGGGTTTTTTCTTGGTTACAGAAAAATACTATTGAAGTGAGGGGGGCTGTTGTATAGTTGTTTGTTAGAATGGTAGAAAAGAATATGAGCTGTGTCAATGTAATTAATTTTATTTCTGCAATCTTTCCTTATAGCCGTCTGTTGGTGAAAGTCTTCAGAAAGAAGCATTGAAAAAACAAGCAATGAAACAGGTAAGATGTGGTGGGAACTCTTTATGCCTGTGGCAAATTAGGAAATTACTGCCTCTATTCCCTTTTATTTAACAATTGCAGTAACATAATTGTGCAGCTTCAGAGTTAGAATTACCCTTTTAAAAAATTCCACATAATTTTATTATTTTGTATATTGCTCTTTGCAGCACAAGACTTTCTTTAAAAGTTGACTTGAAATTCTCAGAGCCTTTTCTCCAGCAAAGATTTTCTTCCACTTTTCTGGGCGAGATTGTTCTTTTTGAAATTCTTCTGTCTATGGTCAGAGTAGCTGAAAAAACTGCCCAATGAAAGCTGCACGTGTGAGGTTTAACACAGAGCTGGTCGTAATTTAAAACACAATAAAATTTCTGTTTACTTAGTGCAAGCACCTAAATAAACAAGATGTTGAAGTTTGTTTTGTGGCATAGAATGCATTGATGTTTATAGAATTTCTCAGTTTGTTTCATTTGTAGAATGTAAAGTTACAAAGTATTGGGTTTAAAAATATTTAAATATATACCAACAGTGAGCCTTTTACTATAATTGAGGAATAAATTGTACAGAGGAAATGTGAAATTTACATTTTAAAAAGTTCCAGACCAATAAAAGACATAGCTAGAAGAAAAAGACATTTATGCATCATCCATTTAACACATTGCTGGTTTTTGATGGAGGTTATGCGTGCTTGAGAGAAACTTGTATGGTTGCCATTCAGAATTCCTCTTCTGTTGTCAGGGATCTGATCTCAGGGCTCCCCTAATAGTTGTTTTTTTTCTGATAGGGCTTTTAAAAGCTGAATGGTTTCACAGTTCTTACTTCCAACTTGACTTTACAAAGAGAAGATAGAACTGTGAAATACAGAATCATACCATGAATTATAATGGTACATACTTATTTTGAACTTTGGGGAAGGAGGATAAACTATAGATGAAAACAGACTAAAATTTATTGAAATGTTGTTTACTATTTATTAAAAGAATGAATTCTGTTATTTGATGGAACAGTTTGCTCATTAAGTTTCCAGTATTGTTTTCACTGTTGTGCTTTCTTTGTATATTTCCTATAATTGCAAATACTGGTGAGGATTTGGTTGTTCTTCTTCTCAATCCTGGTAAACAGTTCAAGAACTTTGTAAATCAGACTGTTTTCAATTTACCCTTAATGTTCTAATGGATAGGTTTTATAATATACATCTGTTTAAATAACAATATAGGAATAAAATGTTTGAAAATAGTAAAAAAATTCATGCTTAATTTTTTGGTCTCTTCTCCTCTTCCCTTTTTTCTTTTAGACTAAATTGGAGATTCAGAAGGCTTTGGAGGAAGATGCTACAGTGTATGAATATGACAGTATTTATGATGAAATGCAGCAGAAGAAGAAAGAAAGTAATGCCAGACTGTTATCTGGAAAAGATGACAAAAAGGTCGATACCTGAAAATGTATGCTGTCTGTCTTATCTCTGTATGCTTGGGATAACTATGGTTGATTAACTTTTAATCTTGAACAAATGCATTTTCTCATGGGACATACAAGTATTGTGCTCGAATCCTGTTACGTAAGGTAGTAATTTGCAGGAATTGTGGCAAAACTGTTAGTTCATCAGGTACTTCAGAGTCCTGATCCAATGGTATTCTGGAGGGCAGCACACTACGGGTTTCCCACCCAATTTATGATGTGCGTATAGCACGTCTTTCCCTGTATTCTGAGGAGAATGCTACAATGGGATAATAGGATTAGAGGCAGTGGGCCTAGCAACAATACTACTTCTGATAATAAAGACCCTTTGGTTATTAAGGCAATGAACATAAATCATCCCTCCTCACTCACTCGTGTGCTTACCAGAGGACTGTCAGAAGACTAATTAACTTTCATTGGTGAAATGTGAGCCAGTTTCCACAGTCCAATGTCTTGTTTCAAAGCATTACTGAATTATCCTGACAAGTTATATTTTCATTGTTACTACTCTGTTTCTTTTGAAAGCTCTTGTCAGGTTATGTGGGTATAAAAGGAAGCTTCCTACTCCTTTACAGCAATAGAAAGGCAAGACTTAGAGGGGTGAGAAATCAAAACACATTTAATTTCACTCAGAGCAAAAATCATCCTAGTAAAGGATAGGCTGAATGTTTTGATTGAATACAGAAACCTCTTTTGTTATTGGGAAGCATGCCATGTTAGTGATCTAAAAGGGAATGACAGTTTCTTTCAGGTAGCTATCAAACAATGTGAGAATGCTAGACTAGCTTCTGTCAATTTTCTTTCATTACCAGCTTTCTTCAACATCTCCATCAATCCCAATTTGTTTTTTCTGAGCCACCTCCATTACCTCTCAGCATGATACCTTTTTTCCCCTCCTGTTTTAGCCCAGATACATCCAAAATATCCTCAAAGCAGCTGAGATTAGAAAGAAGGAGCAAGAAAAAAGAATGGAAAGAAAAATTCAGAAGGAACGTGAAATGGAAGGGGGAGAGTTTGCTCACAAGGAGGCTTTTGTGACTTCAGCCTATAAGAAGAAGCTGCAAGAAAGGGCGGAGGAGGAGGAAAGAGAAAGAAGAGAGGCAGCTCTCGAAGGTGAGATTCACACTGAAATAATTTCCCTCAAAAAGAAGTATGATGACAACGTTGTCATCTGGTCTCTCTGAGAGAGAGATTTTTATTAAAATCGAAAAGGACCAGATAGCAGATACTGAATCAGATCCCACTTCATCTGTGATTTTCCTTTGTACCTGTTAGTGAAGGAACAGAGGAAGCTCCTCATTTTAATTTTTGAAGAAGGGTCAAGTGTTGAAGACTGGGGTATAGTGGTGCTTACGCTCCTTGCTCCAGACATTCTGTACAGTGTCCCAGGAAAAGGTGTAAAGAGTAGGATATTGGATCATAAGATAAATCAGGTTGGAGTGGACCTCTGAAGGTCATCTGTTCCAGCCTCCTGCTCAAAGTGTGGTCTGCTATGAGGTTAAATCAGGTTGCTCTGAGCTTTTTCCAGTCTGGGCTTGAAAACCTCCAGGATGGAGATTGCAGTTTTGGTGGTGTCTTTACCAGTTGTGACTTGTGTTGATGAGTATTTGTGGCACAGTAAATCCAGCCTTACTTTCTTCCTCTTAGCATACCTGGATGTGACCAAACAGAAGGATCTCAGTGGATTTTACAGGCATCTTTTAAACCAGAGGGTAGGGGAAGAAGAGATGCCTAAATGCAGCTTCCGTGAAGCCAGGTAGGATGTGATTCCAGAAGGCTTTCAGATATAAACTAGCTTCTGACTGTTTGTGATTCCACATTCACTGGAACACTGTAAGAATGAGAGAGTACTAAAACACTAGTAGGGTAAACTGATTACTTTATACACCTGTTTAACTGAATTATTTGGAAAATGTCTAGTGATCGTCTATAAGAGAATCAAGCAGGACAGGGATGCCGTTTAAAAAGTAACAAGAGGACACTCATACTTGTAATACTCTTGGTATTATTCTAATGTAATATTTGGCAATCTGCATTAAATTACGTATTTTGAATCGTGAGGGAGACAAAGGGTAAAATAATGGGCTTATAGATTAAGTCATAGGAAATGATGTTGTGATATGAATTTCCTGAAAAAGAATGCGGGTCTCTAATTTTCTACTTACTCCACATGTACAAGTCCATAAAAAATAAATTAATTGAGTGTTGATGCTGTGGTAAAAGGAAATTAATTAAATTATATAGGAAATTCAGTGGCAATATTTTAAAATCTTAATAATATATGCACAGTCCAAAGCAAAGTAATAAGATTAAGCTGAATTATTTATGTAGTTGAAGTAGTGAAATTATGCCCTGTGGATAAATATGCTGAAGGGGGATGTGTTTCTAAAAATTTTTAGATCGCAGAATTTGCATCACTTGTCCCTAAAGTGATCCACCTTTGACTTGTCATTTTAATTAATTGGATTACTAAATAAATGATCAAACTTTTCAGCATAATTTTTAGTCATTGTTCATTGACTAACCATGCTTTCAAGCATGCATCAAACATGGTGTGCTGATTCATAAGAATTTACCACAAGCTGTTACTGGAGCTGTATGATTAAAAAGAAGAGGCTCGTGCGAGTAAACACGTGCATCCTTATCAGTCAGAAAAGAATGACAAAGCATAACCTTTCTGTGTACTGCCCAGATTGGTCCTCCATGGATCGGCTTTTTGTATTTAAGGATCTATGAGCTGTTAAAAGATACGAATTTCTATCTAGTCACAAGAGTGAGATCTTCAGAAGTACTGGATTAAAAAAATCTACTACTACTAATGGAAGTTGTGTTCCTACCTCTGTCAACAAAACATACAACCTGCTGCTTCTCTGGATAATGATTTGATGTGAATAGAGGAATAAACACGTAGGAAAGAATGTGTAGCTTGCCAAAAAGCTTACACAAGAATACAAATCTGTCTTTTTCCTTAGATGGAGGATACAGATACTTAACCATAGTCACTATCTAAACTTCATTATCTAAAATAAATTCGTCAGCTCACATTCACCAATGAACCAGATACAGATATTTAATAGAAATCCTTTGCGCTGGATTCCTGGAACCTGAGCCACGGATAGATTTGCTTTCTTAGACTTTTCAGCAGCATCTTTTGCTTAAGTCCTGATCAGAAGTCAGTTTGTAGAAAAGTCTGAGATTTCAGGCTATGTAATGTTGTTTTTTCTTTTTTAACATACAAAATGTAGGATGAAGGAAGAAAAATCTGACAGTTGTTATGAGGAATCCAACCAAAGGAACAAATGCCCCTCTGAAAGGCAAAGAGTGAAGCCCTCTGCTAAGAAAGAGAATAATCCAGATGCTGATACTGACTTGGGAACTGATAGTAGTGATGATGATATGAGACACAAAAATAGTAAAATAAATTTGAAAAAGAAGAAGAGGAGAGAGAGCTCTGTGAGCAGTGAAGAGGAGCCTAAACATCCCAAAAGCCAGAGGCATTCCAGGTCACCAAGCTCATCCAGTGTGGAGGAAGAGCTGCACACAAAAGCCCAAACAAATGATCTTGCAAAGAGGGGAGAGAGCAGACCAAGCAGAAGGGGAAATGATGAACAGTACAGGGAAAAAGATTATGAGAGAAGTAGGACCCATGAAAAGGATCACCAAAGGGAAAAGGAAGAGCGACATAGGTATGGAGATCACACTAATAAAGATAACTATAGAAGTAGGGAAGAGCAGGATGATAAACAAAGGGGGAAGGAAAGAAAAGAGAGGGAGGGACATAGCAGAGAATGGAGGAAGGCAAAGGAGAGAGACGAGAAGGGCTCAGAAAAGGAACGAGAGAAAGAAAGAATAAGAAATGGTAAAGATAGATATAATGACAGAGGGAAGGAGAGAGGAGAGAAATGCAGAGAAAAGGAAGATCATGTGAAGGAGAGGAGAGAGAAATATGGTAGTGATGAAAAGAAATACAGAGAGAGAAGGGAAGGTACTCCTACATCTTTAGAAAAAGATGGAGAGACTGATCTGGAAAAAGAGAGAAAAGGAAAAGAGAGAGAGGTGGATGAGAAGGGAAGATCCAGCTCTGGAATTTTGTCTGAGCAGAAACGTAAAGCTGGAGAAGGGGAGAAAGATGAGAAAGAACAAGCACAGAAACCATCTGAGAGCATGAGCAAATTTGCTAAACGGAGCAATGAAGAGACAGTCATGTCAGCAAGGGACCGCTATTTGGCAAGGCAAATGGCACGTGTTAGCACTAAATCTTACATTGAGAAGGAAGAAGATTAATGTCCCTGTGAGACAGAAACACTTGGTCTCTCAACCAAGAGGAAAAGCCACTGCTGCATGGACTCTTGTACAAAAGTAAAAGTGTATCCTAGCTATTTATTCCTGGCTTCCATTTAAGAAATTCTGTGTGCCATAATAGAAGAACAACTTTTGCAGTGGATTAACGAATCACTTGATACACACCCTTAGTCTGTTTATACAGTTGAAATACTAAATTTGGCTGACACTGTCCAACCTGGCTTTCAGTACCATATTCTTGATACTTGAAGATTCTGGGCCAGACCTGGGAGTGTTAAATAACATAGGGTGAGAATACCTGTAAAAGTGGGGAAAAAAGCGAGAAAAACAGCCTGAATAATAATCTAGGAGATTACTATATGTAGTATGTTGTTTTGTAAGCTAAATGCATATTGACATACGAATTTTGTATTTATGTGTGGGCTTTGGTTTTGGGGACCTGATGTACAGAAACACTTAAATAAAGTGTAAGATACGTACTGGATCTAATGCTTGTATTATTTTACTGCATCTGTTTTATGTGAAATAAAGTATAGGAGTCTTTTTTCATATGTAAGTCACATCTGCTTGTTCTACTGGAGGTAATATTTTAGGTTTGTCTGTCTGTTCAAAGGTTCATAATCAAGACTAAAGTTACCTCCAGACTGTAACTTGGTAAGTAGGATATCTGACAATGGTTGTCGTTTCTAGAATACATTTTCAATGCTTTTCATAATGGTTTCTTTCACTTTGCTTTGTAGTAAATTTATCACTTTTATGCTAGAGTAAGATAAATTAATGTTTAAAAAAAAAAAAGATTTTGAGATTGGTGTTTCTTTAATATTTTGTTTAGCAGCCTTAGGAACAAGACAAAACATGAGTAAAATTAGATGTTAAGTCTGCCAGATTACAAAGACTTGAAATGGAATGAGTTTTTATATGTACGCTAATTAGTAGCTAAGCACTTACTCCAAGCGTGGATCAGTTTGGTTTTGCTGTTCTGTCTAAATGTAGTGTTCTTCTGTTGGAGTAGAATGAAAGAGTATTTAGCAGTGGGCTGAGGTTCAAACACTAAAAGAAATCCTCTGCTTTTTGTCAAAGAGGCCTTGTTGGTATAGTAAACTAGACACGATATTCTGCTTTTTCTTGGAATTGAGTTTTATCTTTGCTCTTCCCATAAAAGAGAGGCACAAGAGACATCTACAGATGGATTATGAGTATTAAATTTATTACAATAACAGTTTACAGTACAAGGCACATACTGATGACTTACAATCAGCTTGCAACACTTGTAACTAAACAGCTGCATAAATTAATACAGGTGCATCATGTACAAGTTGGAGGGAATACTTCTGTACAGCTAAAACTCCAGTTTAATTCTCTGCCTTAAAGGCAAACATGGTCCTAATTTACCAGTTTCATAAATTTCTTTTCACTGTTCAGAATAGAGAGTGGGATATACTCATGTGATAGATAAGCCAAAGCTGAGCTGAAGAGAAGGAATCTGCCTCTAAACACTTTTAATTGTAGTGCAGCCCATTTGGTGTCAATGTAACTAGTTTTTGTACAAAAACAATGTTTAATGTTGACCTACCTGATAAATACTGGTTATTCTACATGTTTTCAGATGGGTATGTAAAAGGAAGAGAAAAGATGCAATGATAAAAAGAAATGAAATTAGTTTCTCAATATTTCAACCACTCAGCTAAATAGAGATACTAAAAAATGAACTTAAAAGAAGATTTAGAAACACACCAGTACGTCATGTAACAACAACAACAAAAGGTAACTAAACTGATTTGCTAGTTCAGCTTTTACAGAATGAAAACATGGATCTATTTTTATCTTTGTATTATTCAGGAAAAGAAAAAGCCTTTTTAATCCACTTCTGGAGGGCTTCCTTGCCCCCTGTTCCCATAAAGACCTGAGACTGGATTATCCTAGTGAAAAGAGAGCAAAGATCTATCACAAGTTATCGTCTGGACTGGCTATTACTAAAACTATTTTTCTTGTGATTTTGCATGTCTGCATTGCTTTTTACATCTTCAAATAATTCAAAAAATTTTCACCCTCTCAGTACATCTGTATTCAGAGTGAATTTCTCAGTTGAAAAGTGAGAATAATACACTCTGAGAGACCTTGCCCTGTGAGTATTGCAGGGCTTGTATTAATATCAGGGCTTCTTGGCTGACTTTTAATCCACTAGAAAATGGCATTTCGTGGGAAGTTGCTCAGCATTCTGTGCTAAAATCACCTGGAGAGATAATGTCATATATTAGTGTCTTAAAAAATACAAAGTGAAGATGCATCTTTTGCCATTTCAAATGCTGTTATAAAAGATTAACGTCAATAGTACTGCATACTAAATAGCAGTGGTGCCTGCAATTATCACTTTGCAAATTATGCCATTAGGAATAATGTTCCCAGTTTTGGTTTGTTTGCAAGGGCAGAAAGAGAAACTTTGGCTTTGATGTGAATAATGCTCATATTTAACTCAACCTTCTCTGTCCCCACCTTTACCCTTCTTAATAAAAGGCAGCAGAATGTCTGTTTAAAGAAGCTTTTGCATGTGGGTATAGTAAATGACCAAAAATTTGAACTCTAAGTTTTGGGTTGTTTGGGGACAGACAGACTGGGTTTGTTTTATTTTTTTAATGAGCCTAGCATGAAACAGTATCAAGTCCGGCAAGAAATTCCATTTGTAAGATTTATCTATTTAAATACTTACTCATTTAGGAGGAAAAATACCTAGCATTAGTTGAACACTAGTCTGAAGAATGGAGAAGCTGGGTAGGGTTTTTTTCCTTTATTTCCCACACTTGGTAGTGGATACATACAAGTATCTTATTCATCTTACATTGACGTGTCACATGTATTTTTTAAATTAATGAGTTAATAACAAAAATTTCTCTATTAAACCTGATTTTTTGATTGGTAGCTTAATAACTAAAGGACTTTCCAATATTAAAAGAATTCCCAGGCTGTTCCTCTTTTCCTTACAGTGAAGCCAGTTTTGGAAATAGTTTTCAAATATTTAGAGGCTGAGCTACAAAACTATTTCTTTGGAGTAACTGTCCAGTAAGACAGATTTATGATGGGGTTTTTTTTTTCTAGTGGCAATGAAAGAACATATTCCCTTTTTAAAAATAGTTTAGGAGTCTTTTGTTTGTAGTTCCAAAAGAACAGTCTTTGTCCCTTCAAGTTATTTCCTTACTTGAAGTTGGGCTTGAGACTTAAGTGAACTCAAGTCAATAGCTGAAGTGTAAGAGGCCTTCCAGGAGGTGCCTGCACACCCAAGGGAGAAAAACCTTGGCGGAAGCAATGAAAACATTTCAAAAGGCAAACACACCATCCCTGCTTTCCTCTAATATGGTAAATTCTTTGTGCCAATGTAAACTCTTCAAGAGGTTTACTGCCTGCTGCTATGAATGCATATATAACCTTGTTAATTTTAGCAGTATGTTACCTAGGTAGACCATGAGATACAAAAGAGACTTTTATCCTCTATTTTATTTTACTTTCGCTATAATCTATGTGGTAGAGTAAAAATACAATGCAAGTTTTTACATAAATTGACAACTACTGAGGTTTACCTAAGCTTCTACATAACTGCAGCAAAACTCTTGTCCTCCAACTGACTTGGCAGTTGCAGTCAGGTTGAAGGGCAGTTACATTTGAAGAGTGTGTATATGCATATAATATAAAGAAAGAGGTTAGTATGTGCATGGAAGTTAATTTGCATATCAGTGCCTCGAAATTTATTATAAATGGTTCTGA